AAAGAATGTCACTATATTTATTTCATACATACAATAAAATAAACTAAGCATCTGTTAAGTACTGTTTAATAAACGAGCAGGAGTGTTTTATTAGGTTTAAAGACACGAGCGCGCAGCGCGAGTGGCTTTAGACCTAATAAAACACGACCTGCGAGTTTATTAAACGGCTTCAAACACGACTACAAATTCAATAGATATACTGCCTTATTAGTATTCTTTATATAAAAAATACTAATGAGGACACGACTACAATAGATACTGCCTTATTAGTATTCTTTACATAAAGAATACTAATTAGGAGTGTTTTATCAGGTTTAAAGCCACTGCACGTGACATATTATGGTTGACATGATTTGCCTTATTGGCTTTATATTATTAATGAGTGTTTGAAATTCCAATTATTATTAGCATTCACAAACAACAGTGTTACTACAGCCAAAATAGCAACAAAATATATAAATCACAGACAAAATATATAAATCACAGACACAGCTGATTGAGCTGAATGCTTATAAATGGAACTACTGAACTTAGTGAACTACAGTACATACAACTATCGTAAAATATCAGTATAAAGTTGTAAAAATTAACAGATTAAGTCATTAACTATATTCTGAATTCACATGACAATTGCTAATGTAACCCCCTGCATTCTTAATTCCTGACTATCTGATCAGACAAATAGCAAAAAATAGCATGAATGTGTTGCTGTTAATAAGTTTTTAATAGTCAAAAGATTCACACCGTACCTTAAATTAAGATAGAAAACTTTTGCCGTTTATCAACCAAATTCTCTGTGAAGCAAAGCTTCTTCCTTTCCACAAAAGATCCACGATATTTTACACAAATTTACAGGTATATTAAAGTTAACTAGCCAACCAGGCTAAGCCCATAAACCAAAATATGGCAAAATATTTACAATTCCCGCTCATATGAAAACAATTTTGTTGAAAAAAAAGAAAAAGAAACTGCAAATCTCTCCCAGATTTACCTCTTCCCATAGGCAAACTTGAAAACAAAAATAATTCAACAAAAATCAGCGAGATTTCAAACAATATCCTTGATTTCGAAACAATTTTTTGCGATCTTTTTAGTAAAAAATGCCCGCCATTTTGCATGTTTTCGGGGGGGGGGGGTGTGAATGCCTCTCCTTAGCGCACTGGCTAAGCTTTTGGTTACACTCAAACATTAGCGTTTCGTAATACAGTTCCACCTCTGTCCAGTATCTACTCTGTGCCTTTGATTAACTGTTGCACTCGCAATTTACTTGCGCAAGTTGCTTGCGCGAGCATGCAAGGATGACGTGTCCGAGAAAATTTAAATTAGCAAAACAAATTAGAATAAAGTATCTATTTAAGTTAAATTACAAAATCTACAATATTAATTTGTCCATTCAAGTCCGGTTTAAGTTTTTGAATTGAAACTCGCCATCAACACCTTCAACCCACTGCTCGCAGAAAGATGTGGTCTACTCCATCAAATGTGACCTCTGTCAAGACGACGACGGTTTTTACATTGGTGAGACTAGTCGCCCATTAGCTGTACGGTTTCAAGAACACTACTGATCTGCAGCGAATCCGACAGCAAAGTCATATAAGAACATGGCCTTCTCAAAACATTTTAAGACGTCTCATGAGGGTCAAAAGCCAAAACTTACTTCAAAAATACTGGAAAAAGCAAGCGGTTCGTTGGAGCGAAAAATCACAGAAGCTGTTCCTAATTCAAAAACTTAAACCGGACTTAAATCAACAAATTAATATTGTAGATTTTGTAATTTAACTTAAATAGATACTTTATTCTAATTTGTTTTGCTAATTTAAATTTTCTCGGACACGTCATCCTTGCATGCTCGCGCAAGCAACTTGCGCAGGTAAATTGCGAGTGCGACAGTTAAAAAACGGCAATCTTTATTACCTGAAGATGGAGTAACATTCCGAAACGTTGTGAACAATAAAATTGTTCTATATTTTAAGCATTTGTGGTCGTTGTTAATTCCAAGAAATGAAAATACATGTAATTATACAAGGCAGAGGCTTTGCAGTTTGCGGCAAATAATTGTTTCAGGTATAAACCATGCTGAATAGCCACATTAGCGAGCCAAATAATTCAATGACCGATGACAAATAGTGACAAAGCAAATAGTGACTTTAAAGAAAAATTTATTTACCCTAATCTCCAGGGACGCCGGAACGATCATAAGGCAAAGGGGGGCGGGCCCACAGCAAGGGCACTTCTCTAAAACAAAACTTCCAAAAAAATTTCGGTCAGTGTACCATTTTAGGGGTCAAAAATTTTTTCCGGACATACCATAAGTGAAATATAAACTGTAAATGTCTGAATCTCATAATTTCGGACAAAAACCATCGTTCTAAATGTGATTTATCACGTAATTTTTTAAAACTAAAAGGGCACTTCTGCCCCCCCTGCCCCCCCCCTAGCAAAAGACAGGGGGGGGCAGCCGCCCCCCCCTGCCCCCCCCAGTTCCGGCGTCCCTGCTAATCTCTATGTTTAAACCTTGAATATTAGACGTACACCTGCACCCACTAAATACTTACTTTGAATAAAAATTGGGTAGGTGTTCACTTACCCTAATCACTTTAAGTGTTTAACTAGTGAACTGCTAAAAGCTAAGCATCCCCATGCAAGCTCTGCTCTCAGAGTACATCAGGATACAGTAAAAGCTTTAGAAAAACAAAAGCATGCCTACTATCAATACTGACAGTCGTTATCACTTTCAAAACGTTTGAAAAAATTGGCGAATCACAGAAACCGCACGTGTTCGGTAAACGGTAATGTTTTTAAGTTATTCTGTGCGAGAGTGATGTGAAAAAACTAGTCAAAAGTCTACAAGTATAAAATCATCAACCGATTATAAAATTGTTTCCGGAATAATGAATTATGTTAAGGCAATGAAACAGACCCGCATTTTATCCTTTTCGTTCGTCCGCACACCTCCCTGCAAAATACCGTTTTATCGGCAAATCGTATTCGTAATCAGCGAAAATATTCTAGTGGATCAGATTATAAAAAGTAATATTTATACTTCAAGCCCTGTGTCTTTGGTCTTCTACGTCGAAGTTAAAGTTCAACTTGAAGAAATGTTCTGGAATAAGATTTTAACGAAAACGTTGTATCGAGTCTCCCGATTACTTTTTATGCTCCAGTCAGATCCCTTTTCAATCAACTCAAAAGGATCTTGGTATACTTATTACGAATAACCTAAAATGGTCGCGTCATATTTCTAACATTAGACGGTTTTAGATAACAAGACGCGGACGTCAAGAGGACGTGAAAATGACGTATGCACCTCGCGTTCACTTCCGGGTTTTAATCTGGGACGGCAATTGTTTGTCTTTTTCGAAGCAAATTTTTGTTTTCTTGTTACCTGCTCATTTCTGTATTGTTTTCAATCAGTTGTCAAGATATGTGCAAGAAAAGGCTATGTAATACTGGCCAAGTGTTTCCTGATGAATTAGTATGGACATTCAATAATTTTGTTTTGGAAAAAAAGTTATTTTTTGGTATTTTGAAAAGTGAACTTTGTTGCATCATTTGGAATAAATACAACAGCTGCAGGTATTGTTTACGAGCTAATTGTAGCCTATTCAATCAAGTTTGTCAACTGTTCAGTATAAATATAGCATCAGTGTTTATATTGGTAAAATTTAATACTGTTTACGATAGTTTTTCACGCTGGAAAGCGTTTTTTTGCTTGTCGACTGTGACAGAGCAACTAAAATTGATTGAGTTTTTACTGCTTTTAAGTGCTTTTATTTTTCTATTTTCCCACGTTTTCCTGATTTTAAACAGTTGTTAATATAACTTCAGTTTAGTTTCAGTTCTAAAATATTTGTTTTGGTGAATATTACTAGCGGTAAAGTGGTTATTAACAATGCTTGCAGTTTTGTTGATTTGTTTATGGCGACCGAAAGTATTTGTCGAAAATCAACTCGTCTAAAATTTAGCGAAATACAAGAAAAACAACCTTCTCAATGGAAAAACTTTAGCTAGTATCATTAAACAATACATGGGGAACAAAATAGGATGATTTTTATTATGCATAGTCTCATATTTTTTTCAAAAGAAGCAAAAATCTGTGACGTTCGAGAGAGGACGTGAAAATTGTGTTTTCGCGTCGTGAAATCGTCCAAGACGACGTCGCAAACCAGAAGCTGACGAAAGTTGGCGCCAAATGACGACATCCACGTCCTTTTGACGTCCGCGTCTTGTTATCTAAAACCGTCTAATGTTTCCGAAGCAAACCGCATGCTTGGATTTCTACGACGTAACTGCACATATTTAACTGATATAAATTGTCGACGCTCTCTCTATTTGACACTTGTTCGTACACACCTGTGCTATGGCAGTGAATTTTGGGCATCCCAAACAACATCTAGGGACCTTCTTTGTCTTGAAAGTGTCTAAAGAAGAGCAACCAATTATATCCTTCAAGACTTCAACTCATCTTACACCAACCGTTTAAAGAAACTTAACCTACTGCCTATTTCATAGGCCGTATTCTCTGGCCTCAAAAGTTGCCTCGAAAAATATTTCCGCCGCCATCGGTCTCCATCTAATTTTAATTTATATAAATCTACAGATTTTGACACGCTAAGTATGAATTTCAATGTTGTCACTCGCACAAACCTGCAGTTTTTGAGTATATTGCCACCAAAGTTCATTATCTTTCACGGCTTCGAAACAGGATGGCCGCCATTTTTGTCCTGGGTACTTCGTGTAATATATGATGAACGGTACTAGTTCCACACCCTACTTAAGCTATTTTCACGCGGTCGAACGGAGGGTTATCGTGATTAGCCATCATATGCGTTTGTTTTATCATTCCGTAAATTGATGTTAAAAAATGAAAGTAGAAATAAATGAATTAACTTAGTTATCCTTCTATGAAAGGCCTCTGCGGCCAAGAGTAGCATTTAAGGTGGCTCCCTATAAACGTTCCTAGAGGTATGTGTATCTAGGTTTCAATTGGCTACCCCACCTTAAAAAGATTCCCCACATGTGTTGAGAAGCTAAATAGAAAAAAGGTTTTGCAATATATCACCTTCACTCAAAAGACATCTCAAAACTATAATAAGAATAAAGACCGGTCTTGATACACTAGGAAAAGTTTCCAAAAAAAGTTTGTGAAACAGACGTTTCCGATACAAATAGGCAATTTTGGATAATAATCCCATTTGTAACATGTGTTTGCTTTGCGATCTCTTCGCCAAAATCGATATTGTCATACACAAGGTTAACATACTCTTCTGCCACAAAGTTCCTTGGGATAACATTCGACGTATTTATGGTTAACTGTGCAAGCGCAGAATCGTAGGCCATTGTCGAAGACAGAGAAATGCAATGTCCAAGACCATTTAAAATATTAATAAGACTTGAACAGCCGGTAATTTGTCGAACAGTCATTGCTAATGCTAGCGACTTGGGCGTCTGGATTTTCCCCTTGCTTGAAACGTTAATCAGATCCTGGCATATAGAAAAGATCTTCACGGCTTGCTTTTCGTTAACTTCAACATACTCCGACGCTTGTGGGTCTTCTGAAAATCCAAGGAGCCATGCAACGAAATTAAAAAGGAGTGGCTTAACTAACTTCCTAACGCTTTCTCCAGTGATGTCGGATGAAAGTGGCGGCCAATTCTCATACCAGGTATAACGCAACGTTATAAACCTCTTTCAGTGTAGCCACGTTTTCGTGGTTCTTTAACAATGTGTCATCCAAGACTTCATCTTCACTCTCCATCTCACTTTGCGACGTTTGACTTTCTTTATCTAAGTAATGTTCCGCCACGACACCTTGACAGATAGTTTGAGCATAGACGATCGCACTTCTGTTGCGTTCATACGGTGTATGAAAAACCAGCTGGGGAAATCTTTCTATCAACCTCTCCTTCAAGCGAAATCTCCTATAACCCGATGCATCGCAGTTCTCAACCGTCGCAACAGTTCTGACAAATTCCGCTTCAATTTTCTTCATGTAGTAAATCTCCTCGTTGTCAATTAATTTTTCTTTCACAAACCGTTCACAAAAAACGTTAAAGGATTCCTCGTATTTGCACTTAGCACGAACATCATCGTCTTCTGTTACATCGGGGCGTCTTACAAATTCTGTGTATCGTTGATAACACTGTCTGTGGTACTTCACTTCTAATGCCACGCAGTCCTTGTCAGCAATTTGTAAAAGGATACTTTCGTCCCCTTTTCTTGTAGCTGCTTCTCTCAATCTTCCCCCGTCAATGGTTTCTGCACTCACCAACTGATCTTCCTTTCGTTTTCGAGAGTTCTACCAAAAAGGGAAAAATCATCGTCACCAACGTCATTATCCTTAATTACCATGCTTATCAGTAAATACGTTTACTTACGCCGTGTCAGTCACAAAAGACTTTTCTTTCTTACAAATGATGCACACAGGAGCCAGCACATATTTTGATTTTGTTTTGCTTGACGCGTTTACTGCTGATCGCAATAATTTCTTTGACGGTTCGGATGCGTGGGTCGTTTCTAAATTAAAAAAGAGCTCAATCATAACATTAAGTAATAATAATAATAATAATAATAATAATAATAATAATAATAATAATAATAATAATAATGAAAACTTTATTAAATGGATAGTTAGCTTATATATACAATTGCAAATCTCACTTATATCAGGTAATTTACAACTGGCTACTTAAATCACTGATTATATATGCAAAAATTATACTATTAAGATAACAAAATGACAGTACAACGTTTAAACACTTAACAGTTCCGGATTCATCCATTCCTTGTTTCGACAACAAAATATATAATACGTTGTTCGGATTGCAATCGTCGTCATTCTTCTAATACAGTGATTCTGATGTTGCTTTTGAAAACCAAAATCATTAAGCATTTCTATGAATGTAGAACATTCTTTACTGAAAACACCAAGAGAACTAATCGAAAGATTTACAAATTTTACTTAGTTGAAATGTTCATTTTGTTCCCTAATTAATTCTTTATATTTTGATTTTTTACGCTCAACGTTTTTTTGAAGATTTGATTCGAAGCCAACTGTAAGTTCAACAATATAGAGTGTTCCGGTTGAGGTTGAAAGAAGCAAATCTGGACGGTAGGTGTCACCAGTGATGATTGATGGACTTTTGTACCCTGAGAGATCCACGTAAAGATGTGAGCCGCTTACGGTCTGCAGGTTTGTTGCGAGAAAGTTTAGAACGGAGTCATGTCTCCACGTGAATCGTTCTAGATACGATTGGCAACCAGCTACTACGTGCAGAAGTGTCACAGGAGCTAGACATCGCGAACAGTCTGAAGTCGGTGATAAACCCCATCTTGCAAGGTTTTGGCGCGTTGGAAGGGAGTTATTGATGTATCGAACTGTAAAGTTGAATATATTTTTCGGCAGGTTCGATTGGCACGCAGACCAAATTTTAGTGAGTTGGGACAGTGAGAAGTTTGTTATATTAGTGAAGAAAGAGCCTTGTCAGGTTAATTGAGTATGCAGTTTATCCTCTTGTCCAGAGCGAAAGTCCTTAAGAACTTGCTTAGTGGAGTTATATACGTCATACTGAATATTTTTGCTGTTGCTAGTTGCTTTCCAAAGATCGTTAATTGCTTCGTTTGGGGATGTTTTTAGGGCTTTACGGAGAACAGTTTGACATTGAATAAATTTGACAGATGGGGGACAAATACTGAGGCCAAACTTGTTGCGGTGCTTAGCGTTCCAGATATAGGTATATCAAGCCATTTACGGATATAACTGTTGACTATGGAATCAATGTTTTCGGTGACCCACGTTTTCGATACGCTAGAAACTGTAAATAATAATAATAATAATAATAAGGAAACTTTTTTTAATAATAGTTTTGTAATAATATAATGACAATGACAATGATAATAATAATACCTACTTACCACAGGTTTCAGTTGCCTCATCATCTAAAAGTTTTAAATCATCTTGTGGTACCAGCTGTGCCTTCCCGCACCGAGTTATGGCTCTTTCTATTGACGTTTTGTTTGTGAACTTCGAATAACATCCTCTGTGGTAACCAGCTGCTGGATTTTGCCATTCGTTATCGTCAAAGCATGCTGTATTCTATGCTACCTCTCTTTGCTTTCCATCCAATGTCTTCCAAATCTCTCTACATTCTAAAACTCGTTTGTATGCATACTCTGTAAAGCGTGCAAGCTGTCCACTTTCTCCATCGAAATGAATCAAACAATAAGAGGCCATGCTTGGCAATGCAAGTTTTGTAAGAACTGTAAGTACATTTCTTCTACCTTGTACTTCATGTAAAATAAAAATATAATGCTCGAAGAGTACAGGAAAAGACTTGAACTAGTACCGTTCATCATATATTACACGAAGTACCCAGGACAAAAATGGCGGCCATCTTGTTTCGAAGCCGTGAAAGATAATGAACTTTGGTGGCAATATACTCAAAAACTGCAGGTTTGTGCGAGTGACAACATTGAAATTCATACTTAGTGTGTCAAAATCTATAGATTTATATAAATTAAAATTAGATGGAGACCGATGGCGGCGGAACTGAAAGATATTTGCCCACAGAATACAAAGATATTACTTTTTTTATAAATGCAAAGCTGGTTATTGTGACTTAACACTTGAAAACTGTATTCTAGATAATTGTGCTAATCTTCACTCTCGCTTTAGCTCTACTGATTCATACCGACCAAACCGTTGCAGAACATCTTCTTTCCGAAACCTATTTTTCAATAGGATAGCGTAGTATTTTCATTTATGGCAGGACTTAATTTGGGACTTTTTTAGTCCTGTTATCTGTGCCTTTAATTTCTTATTGTAAAACTAATAAAAAAAAACTTTTTATAAATTTAGGAAAATATTACAGAAACATTTTTGAAATTATACACCTCCTGCTTTAGCCTCTTCCCTACGGCTCTAATCGATTCCATTTTGAGTTTCTGACAACCTTCGGAAAACTTGACACAAACGTTCGCAAGGCAAATTTCAGTAAGGATGACGCATCCGCAGACGTTTTTGCTGCGTTCGTTGCCATGGCTAACATGACGCAAGCCTCCATTCTTTGGTGGCGTTAATTTGGAATAATTCATGTTAAAAATTGTTTAGGAAAATATATGCGAAGGTTGATGCGTGCATGTTTTTCTAGCACGTATTAGGGAGCATTACCTGTACTTCTTCCAAAGGACAGTTGAGTAATTTCTTGACGTGTTTAATTAAATAATTCTGTAACCTTTCATGCTTTAGCGGGGATGATTCTGAATTCAAAACCATACTCGTTGTAGAACTATTTTACTGCTGAGTCATGTAGTGATAAAAAATTCTTTTTTCTACCATAGGTTGGACCCCCGGTGAAATACTTTTCACCGCAGAAGCCTTTGATACTTGGGAAAGGTTCAATGGGTACATCTGTTTATGTTGGTATCATGGAAAATGGTGCTGAAGTGGCTGTAAAGAGGTTCTTGAAACAGGAATTTGAAGATGCAGCTCAAAATGAGCTACAAATTCTGAGCCGAATTGATGCAAGCAAGTCGCCATTTATAGTAAGCTATCGAAAATGTTTAAACGACGCCACTTTTGTGTATATAGTTTTGGATCTCTGCGAAGAAACATTGAAGGAACACGTTTGTACTCGAAGATTGGAATATCTACAAGATCATGGTCCAAGAATGATCAAAGAAATCCTAAGCGGAATTGAATTTCTTCACAGTCGAAAAATTTTGCACAGAGATCTCAAACCATCAAATGTCTTGGTTGATCTTCAAGGTCACATGAAATTGGCAGACTTTGGAATAAGTCGTCTTTTGAATGAAGAAGAAACCACAGTTCATACAGGTGCGAAAGGAAGCCACGGCTGGATGCCCACCGAAGTCATTGAAGCAATAAATAAAGAAGAGATAGGACGTTTTAAAAAGAAATCTGATGTTCAGGTCGCAGGTATGATCGCTTTCTTCATTTCAACCAAAGGTGAGCATCCTTTTGGTCCTGCGCTTGAACGAATGATAAACATCTTGAAAGGAAATCCTGTTAACTTAAACATGCTTCGCGATCTTCAAGTTCGGAAATTTATTTCATGGTTGATCAGTCATAACATTGATGATAGACCTTATGCTCCTGAGGCGTTGGCGGATCCCTTTATGGTCCACGTAACAAATTCTCTCAGGAAAATTATGTTACAAGAATCCCGTACATAGGAAAATCTTTAAACTAACTGTTCCAATCTAAAATTTTCTCGCATAAAACTTAACTTTCACATGTGAAAGAATATATGAAACCCAAATTCAAATTATGGAAATTGGAAATTTATGTATAAGTATAATATTATGGTTTCGAGTGCAATTTGGATATAACATGCACGAGTGTGTTTTTCAAAGACCTCAAAATAGCACGAATCCGAAGGACGAGTGGTATTTGAAAAACTCACGAGTGCATGTTTATCCAAATTTCACGAGAAACCATGCTATTACTTATTAATAATTTACACAAAAATGTTTGAGACAATTGCAGTTTTAACTTACGCGTTTATAGCGAACATTCCACTGGCAAAGTCCTCCTGGCTTTGTTTTTATCACATTATAATGTACAACGCTAACAGCTTGAAAATTCTACTCAACTTAATATTTAGCTTTTGCTAAAAGATCAGTAAGTTTAAACGTTTCAATAAATTTTCCTGAAATTATGCCTTGTAATATTTACTAGAGGACTCGACTAACTTTATTTAGACTGGATAGCTCTATCGGTCACAAACTGTTCTTCCTAGAAGAGTCATCCCCAACTGTTCCAGTGTTTCTACAGCAGCGGAAACAGGAGCACCAGTTCGGGCAATTTAATCAGACAGACGTTGCCAGTATAGGTAGCGACGATGACAAGACAACTACAGATTGAGAAAGATACAACTACCTGGAAAATACAGGCAAAACTACGACGTTTAGAGCTAAGGCCCTTCGACTGGAAATTAGCGCGCTACTAACTTCCCGACGAAGGACTCGAAACGTCGAAGTTTAATAATCAGACGACTTCATATAATTTTAGGAATCCTCGGTTAGAGAGGTGAAAGGCATATATGCACTGGCCAAACCGTCACTCCTGCATGTTAATTAACCCCTTAAGGTGGCTCCATACAGTTCCGTAGTATAAATACCTTATTGCGTAAAAAATTCAATTTATAAATTTTATCACTTCATCTATTAATTTTAAGCATTCCCGAGTATAAATTAAGTATTTGGTAGAAAGATTTGCAATATTCTTGAACATAATATTGTTTGCATGGTAACAGTAGTCTCGCCAAATATGGTATTTTTTGCTATTTTCAGCAGGTTTTTATTATTTATTTTCCGAATATTGCCGGTGACACCCCATTTTTAACTGCTGTATAGCTTTCACTTTTAATGCGGAATCTTATCCCTGAAAATAAAAAAAATTCTGTAGATTAGAATAGCCAGAATAAAAAATTGTGGATTTAGAGTTTTCCAATCTACAGATTTTTTTAAAATTTTGATATTCTATTTGTTTTAAAAGAAGGTATCGTTGTGCAAAATTTCATCACATGTCACCGTGCAAAATTTTGAATTACTCCGTTTTATTGTGGTATCTCACTCCCTCGGCCGAAAGTTTTTCGAGCTCTGCAAGATCAATGAATTGACATGCGCGTACATGTTTTCGCAGGCGCATCTCCAGAAAAACACACACAAAAAATTTTTTAGTCTCGTCGAAATATCAAATATATGTTGTGTTTACTTGCTTAGAAATGCAAATATATTTAGTTTTGCATGCTAACTCGGGATAACGCCAAGAAAACAGGTGATTGTCGGTCGTTTGGTATAAGATATGTGTGACATGTATGAACTTTTTGGCTTCTGTACATAGTTTTATATTCGTTTTCAGTCGTAACTTGTGTGTTTTCATGTTGTTGTTGACAATTTAAAACAGTCTGAGTCCGCGCATGATGCTGTTTCACTGAATTTCTTTGCTGTTAGTAACACTTTGAATACATTTACCAGTTGTAAGTACAAAAAACTCTGGATATGAACTTATAAATCGCCAAATATTGCAGTAAAAAACTTTTCGTCGGTCGGGCCGATCGCCGTTTGAACGTTGAACATTGCATTTTTTATCTTAAAATGTCTTCTAAAACGACTAGTTATTCAATGTTCAGGGCTAAATCAGGACGAAGTTTGTTCTTTGAGAATAAATGAGAACAAGGAAGACTCAAAACATCAAAATAAACATGACTTGCGGTTCGGAATTTTGACTGAAAAAGTTGTATTTATTTTTGCATTTTTTTGTAATATTTTCGCGCGAAAACTCAAGATTAAGTACCAGTCCCCCGATAATGAAAAGTGTCTGCCTCCTCCGCAGGCCCTCGTTGTGTCATGGGAAGGTCACGATTTCGAGAGGGCCTGCGGAATCTTGTAAAATGAATAAATGTTGTTTTGAAGCTGCTTCGTTAAAGAAGGCAGTTTTATTCGTTCAACTTGGTGTGGACAACAAACCTTATCGTTAAAAAATGCTTCCTTCCACGTCCTTAGAGTCGCCGCCAGTTTAATTTACAAGTTTCACGCCGCTTTTTTATATCTGTTTGTATTCAAGATTATGTAGAAATTTACTTGCTGACGTGACGCCGGCGCCATTTTTTTACAAGATTCTGCAGGCCCTCGCCAGATCGTGACCTTCCCATGACGCAACGAGGGCCTGCGGAGGGAGGCAGGAAAAGTGTACGGAGCCACCTTAAGGTGATTGTTCTGGAAATGAGAATTTCCTGAAGCACGCCTAATCAATGCAAGGTATTTTTTTCTTTGCCCTTATTCTTTCTTTATCACTTTACATTGGAGTTTGACTACATATATTAGCTAGAATTTTCCAGGGACGTGGCGGGGGGGGGGGTGAAAAGTTGCTCAAAATTTATATTTTCTTGGTCAAAGGAATTATCTAAATTTTAAAGGAAATATTATATTATTTACAAAAATTTCAGAAAATCGAAAAAAATTTCAGAATTTGAGAAAAAATTTTTTTGATAAACGGAAAAAATTTGTGGAATCGGAAAAATTTCTTATTTCGCGAAAAATTTGGATATGTCCGGAAAAAATTTTGTACCCCTATAATGGTACACTGACCGAAAATTTTTTGGCGACGGAAGGAAAGGACGAAAAAGGACGAAATAGTTGGTCATTTTCATTGAAACAGTTGGTCATTATGGAATGACGCCCCCCCCAATCTGGAATCGTTCGCCACGCCCCTGGAATTTGCTATTAGATATGCGCAGTAAAAGTGCGCAGCAAACGTGCGCAATGCAAAATTGATGAATCACCTTAATTATGAGATCACAATTATCTACATCTCGCGTGCGCGGCTTTTCAAGCAGTGTCACACAACAAAATCACATTCACGCCGCCACATGTTTGACCTATCCTGTTGCGAATATTGGCATACAAAAACGAAAAACTTTCGGCTCAAAAAATGGCGATTGGACAGTTCCCGTAAATCGACTCCTTTCAAGTCCAGTCGCTACTCAACTTTCTCAGAAAGATTGCAAGAAATCCCGCCTAAGTCAGAATTGAGCGTCAAGACAATTCGACTGAGCGAGAATTTGTTTGTTCATGATTTCTCGGACTTCAGTGATCCTGAACGAAAGTTAAGTTATGCACGAGAAATGGCTCATTCGGACAGTGATGAAGAAATATATGGAAGATATGTTGTTGTAAGTATATGTGCGATTTAGGGCCTGGTTCGGCGCCTTGCCGACCACTCAATCATTTTGGCCACCACAATCAAAGTTGCTTTTCTCTAAAATATAAGCAAAATATTGGAAGAAAAATGAATTTAGAAGTGAGGTTAAGTTTCATATTCTGGTAACTGAAATTTGTTTTGTGAATCCTATGTCGTCTTTTATCTTCAAATGATTCAATGTCTTTAATAATGGTAAATATTGTAAATACCTTAGATTTTAAAAATTTTCCAATGCATGGACAGCATATCCCATTTGAGCTGCTGTAAGGCTAGGCTAAACAAGTCAGTGATCGAGTTGTGGTATTTACATAAACATACCATGCACGTACTTAACTGAAGATTTGGTTTATCTACAATATAAGGTAACGCTGTATATCCAAAAATCTGTTTAAAAAAACGCAGTCCTAGAGGTGGAAAAATACAAAACTTTTCTGGGGGGAGACCACAATCGATACCACACAAAACGTTTTGTCACTAACAACCATCTGTCATCTCTCCACACTCAGTATAGTATGGTAGCCTCATACCCAGACTCTTTAGCAATTAATAGCGTTCAGAGCTCTGGGGAATCCCTGCGCGCCGGGCTCACCCAGAGCCCTGAACGCTATTAATTGCTAAAGAGCCTGGGTACGAGGCTGATAGTATGGCCTCTTTTTGTAGATGTCCCCCGTCCCCATGGATGAATTTTGGAAAAAGCCCTAAACATTGAAATGAATATACCCGGAACGTTACCTTCATATAAACTGCACCATCTTTTTCAAGTTCACGTTAGTGGGGTGAATTACTTCTGTGTTCCAGTTGCGTAGCCAGGGTCTAAACTGGGGGGGGGAGGCAAAATTTGTATGCCATTTCGAATGCGAGTGCCAAAGGCGCGGGGAAAGGGGTCCGGGGCCATGCTCTCCCCAATTAGAACGCTATTTCACGTATTTTAGGACGAAGTTTGAAGAAAATTTACAAACACAAAAATCCATTTTTAAGTCGCCTAAAGTTGTTAGATCGAAAAAAAGTTTTGTAAAATGTTCTACTGTACACGAAAATACAGAAGCAAAATAGCTGAAGATGTCTTTGTTTTTGTAATAAAAAGCCGTGAAGCACTGAAGCTCACTTGGCCGCCATATCAGTTGAACTTTGAAGTCGGTCATGACTGCTGCTATGCGCGCAATTTCAAGTTCAAATGTGCTTTCAGTAACCATATAGGCATTTTTTACTTGAGTTAGGATTCTGGATAGGGAAGACCAAAAGGATATCAATAGTCACGCATCGTCCCCCCACCAATTTCGGTTTTAATTTCATTAGGGGGGGGGGGGGGTCAGAGCCTCCCTCCCTTTGGTTACATGCTGTATTGATATGACTGCATCTATCCTACCTCAGTGAGACAAAAGTACAAAACTATATGTTAACATGGAGTCTTCAAAATATATTTGTTGTGATTAATTTAAATTAAAACCAACCACATCTTCTATTGCGA